GATCTAACATCCCCAAGATTTATATATCTGTTAGGACGATTTCAGCTTTCAACAATTTCTATTTAAGTCTGCCAGTTGTACATACTGTTGTTAGCATATAAAGTGATTTTTCAACTGATGCTTTTTAGTAACCAATCAAAGGCAAAAACTATCTCCAAACTCAAATAATTCACTTACTTCTTCTTCTGTTGCATTCATATTTGGCTCTTCTTGTGTTTGATGTATTAAGTAAACAAGACCACCAAGTAATGTTGTTAATATGGTATAAAAACTAACTGTTAAAAGCATCAATGTTGTTGATTTAAAACTTGGACTAGTACGTTTACCATGTGAAGTTCTAGGCAATTCATGCGAATTTACACCAACTAATTCATTACTTTTACGACTCATAATACTATGTGATTGTCCATTAATCGGCGACTTGTTATGATAATTTTGATCAATTGAATCATGTTGATGAAGCATGGAATTGTATGAAGTTTCACATTGAATTGAATTTTGAACAACATCCAATGTATTGTCTGCCAATGAATTTTTACTAATTAAATTTTCATTCGTTTGTTTACGTGATCTTTTTGAACGGGATGGTGTTATTTGTTTTGAAAATAAATTTTTAAAATATGTTTTAATTTTATTTCTGTGTTGATAATTAATATTACCATTATTATTATTATTATTATCATATGGTTGTTTTGTTGAACATTGAATATTCACTGAATTTGTTTGAATTAATGATTGACATGTTGAACTAGTTGATGTTAAATGATTTGATATCATAGCTAGTTGTTTATTAGCTTGATGAACTCGAGCTAATTCTTTAATTACTAAACAATTAAATATTAATACTAATAGCGGGACAACACCAGCAAATACCGCTTCTAGACATGATAAATATACACTTATAATTAATGGATTGATATGTCGTTTACTACATGTATTCGTCTCTGTGATGAATATATATGCATGTCCAGAACAAACTAGAATTGTACCAATAATAATTGATACACATATATAAACCGCTCGTCGTGAACTACAAATTCGATCAATATAAAATGGTTTACATATTGCTAACCATCGTTCCACTGTAAAAGCAAGTACAAATAATGGTGATGCATATTGTACAGCAGGTGACAATATATTTTGTATTTCACATGAACCAGGTGTTAAATATTCACGTATTTGCCATACACGTGATAAATCTCTATTCAATGCAAATATTAAAACAATAATATCATTTAATGATAAGGCAGCTAAATAAACCGCAGCAGAATTCTCTCGTACCATTCTCTTGTTAGACCATATAATGAATGCAAGAAAATTTCCTGGAAAACCTAAAACATAATAGATTATTGTTACATAACGATCAACAAATAAAGCGGTAGGTACAAAATGTTTTGCAAAATCTACCCATGTTGTATAGACTTCTAGAAGCATTTTATCTGATACAGTTTTATTAGGATTGATTAAATTATCAACGGAAATATTTGTTTTAGTTTCATTTAGATCCATGGAAAATGATTCAGTTAATTGAATAGTTAGTAATGTAAATGTGAGTAGAGTTGTTTGTGATATTAATTGGTCAGACGTCATTAGAAAGTTCAAATAATGTAGATAGTGCCTGAAAAAGATGAGAGAAGAATGTTAAAAAATCTTAATTGGAATGTTGTTATATTATTACTGTAACGACATGAAATACTTGAACTAATCGAGAAGGAGTGAACAAGTTTAAATATTCCACATAAATTAAAAAAGAAAACTTGAACAGGTTAACATTTAGCGTTTCAATGATTTCAATAAATATGAAATAATGAACCACCATTAGAAACCTGGAAGCATTAAAAAGATCATTTCGTCTTGGTGTGGGACTCATCAGTAGTGCGCGTCCACAACCTTTGCAAGCGGAAATCGAACCAAGGGTCTAAGGTCCCGCGTGCAAAATCTTATTAACCTCTAAACCAATGAGTTGGTATCCAATGGTGTTATCGCTTAACGTCGAGTGCTTCAGGGTTTCTAATTTTGATCTAACAGTGATCGATTAGTAATTTAAATCAAATTCAAAAATCTCCACAACCCTTCAACGAAAAATGCAAAAAATAGCTTAATATTATTAAAAGAACAATTTTTATACTGTACAATATCACATCATGTAGTTGAACCATCATGGTATCAATGCAAACTTTCATGAAAAATGCCTAAATAAACAATACTACTATACATTGACAAAGTGTTCTTAAAGATTAAGAATTTCAATCTCAAAATTCTCAGATATCGTTCTTATTTCGATGTAGTGTTGTGGAGTATTCGTAAAAATGTTAGGAACATTTGTTCTCGAGCATTTTTAGCATTCCTGAAGTTTGATAGCATAGTATTGGTTTTACAGTTTGTACTAACTGATTAAAACAACAGCTTGATTAAATGTCAATCCAAAAAGTAATTTTTATCCTACTATAAACGGAATAAACATGCAACTCTGAAACAAGACATAACATAACATATATATTTCTTTCAGTTAGACTTCAGAAACTAAATTATTTTTTTTAAAGCCAAATACCATTTCTTTAAACTATACGAACCAACGTGATAATGTTACGTTTACGATTTTAAAAATGTTTTTACGACACACAAATCGAAACACTTTCCTCTTGTAATTGATAGAAAGCTTTCAGCACTAAATTCGTCTAATTTTATAATCCATTTGTTAGCGTTGAATTCTAGAGAAATAACGCAATTCTAATATAATTGAATTTTAATTCAGTTTTTATTTTCAGTGTACTCAGTTCAGGCCATATATATTCTGTTGGAGCTAGTGATACTACTTAACCGTTCAAATTAAAGTACAGGGAAAGTGGATTATATCTGTGATTTATCTTATAAAGCTTAATGTGGTCACTTTTAAGGTGCTAATTTACAACGCCTTCAAACAGTTTATTACAAAACAGGTAGATGCATGAGATAGAAAATCATTAGAATTAATAGGAGCTCTGCATTCTGGATGATGGGATTCAATCAGCACCAATATCTAGAAAGGTGTGACATTCATCATGATTCAGTGAATCATCCGTGCAAACTTCCACAGTCTTACATGAAGTCGACTATGACTCTGCTAATTTCATAATGACGTTTTTGGTTGTAAAACCAGGTGATGAGAGTACGAGTATCAAAGCCAGAGTATTGCTGATGCTCCTACCTGACAAGTCTCAAAATGATCGACACTTTATTCCGAGATATCATGCGGACTATATGTAACTTATGTGTAAGAACCAATCGATTCCTCTTACCGCTTCATTTAAAAAAAAGCAATGAACTATAGCAAAACGGTCATAAGTTTCATTTTGTTTTGTTCAGATATTATTCCATCTGAAAGTGTTCAATTAAAACTGAACACTGTAAACATATTTGCTAAAAAATGAAATATATAAAAACATGATTTTATAGAACCTCAAGTTAATTCAGTATCTTTCATAAAATTTAACGAAATAATTCATTGAAATCTAGAAAAAAAAATCATAATCTATGATTGAATTGTTTATATTTATTGAAACAAAATTGATCCATTTATTATAATCTATAATAAATAGAGAAAATTAAATTCCTGATATTTTCAAAAAAAACAAACAAAATTTCTTTCAAAAAAAAAATTGAAAAAAATTGAAAGGAACAAACAACTCGTTCCGACTTATACAAGCTAAGATTTGTTTATATTGGTTGTTGATTGTTGTTTCATTTTTAATGTCTATTGTTCAATAATCAAGGGATTTATGTTTCCTGTTATAAATATTCACTGTTAGTAAGTAAATACATTAATTCACTGATAAGCTATTTATTTATTTATTTATTCAATAAGCAATATGATTTGAATAAATATCAACTAATCGAAATCCTGTGATGGGAAAATTTTACAAAAAATGACTGAAAAAAATTTTACATTCTTTTGGATTAGTTTGTTTTAAAATTTTGATTTTACTCAATGGATTATGATTGTAGGTTTTTTTTTGTTTTCTATGGCCAAAAAAAAACATACACAACCCCGATTCAGTAAATTACAAATCGATTTTATTTTATTTCTAAACAGAACAAGTATAACATGGGTTGTAGAATCAAACGAATTCATGATTTGTATTCATGATTTCTAAATAACTGAAAAAAAACTAGAATTGTTAAAAATATAACATTATGAAGTTGTGCAGATTGTTGAGTTACTTGATAAAAGCATGAATTGATCAATGTTCGACCAGCATCAGAAACCTGGAAGCAGTCGACGGCCGTTTCGTACTGGATTCGAGTCCTACGATGTGCAAGAGGCGTGGATGCACATTGCTGGTGAGCCCCATACTAGAAAGAAACGGTCGTCTAGTGTTTCCAGGTTTCTAATGGTAATCTAACATTGGTCGATTCATGATTTCACTAAGTAACCTAATTCTAAACAAGTGTTTGTAGTATGTATAGGTTGGTGAAATTTTAATCGACAAACTAATATCTTAATACAATGCAAACGTATTGTAAAAAGAAATATATTTTAAGGTAGTTAGCAGTCAGTTTATAAAAAAAAACATACATTTGGAAAAAATAATTGATAAAAAATTCATTCATTTGAGAGTGATTATTTTCAGCTGATGAATAATATGGTACTTATAAGAAATAGTGATTGGTTCTCATTTCAGTCATGTTTATTAACGTCTAAAAAAACATGGATTATATAATTATGGTGAAGTTCCATTCTCTGGAAATGGATGTTTTGGTTATATGGATCATTCATTGTACTTCTGAACAATAACATCAGCGCCAACATCAAACAGGACTGAAGTATTCCGATTTCTTAATGAACGACCCATATATTGTCCTGTTGACTTCAATAAATAGTGCTTCGTTTCGTATTAAGTGTATATTGGTTGTAGTGTTGACAAATGAATACCGACTTTGAATATCATGACATACTTATTGAAAAGATTAATTATTACAATCAACGTTAACTTAGATTAATATTTTTCCCACTGGTTTCTTTCAAAAAAATACTTCAAATCTAATCCCAGTAGAATAGATCAATATCCAATTTGTATGCTATAAATCATGTTAAAAACGTAACCGAATATAAGTCATATTTCTCATTGTTTGTATATTTTTCAAAACTTATTTGAAAGAAACTCGATAAACAATTATTTTGAGTAAACGAAATACACAATTTCTCTGTTTACTACAACGAGAGAATAAAAATAGTTAACCCGGTTAATGATTTATAGTTGCTTTGTTCTGTACTAAGTTTGAGATCAATAAAAGCATTTGAGTAGACCGGTTAACACTTGCTTACTTTTCGCCTGTTACTCCTTATGGTAATAGTATACTGCAATTAATAATGTTGAATACATTCCAATTAAAGCAGTTATTTACTTTTAAGCTCCTACTTCATATAATTACATTTATCTAACAAAACGAACTCAAACTTAATACAGAACAAAATAACTATAAATCATTAACCGGATTTTTGTTTCATTGTAGTAAACAGAGAAATTGTGTATTTCGTTTACTCAAAATAATTGTTTATCGAGTTTCTTTCAAATAAGTTTTGAAAAATATACAAACAATGAGAAATATGACTTATATTCGGTTAAGTTTTTAACATGATTTATAGCATACAAATTGGATATTGATCTATTCTACTGGGATTAGATTTGAAGTATACTTTGAAAGAAACCGGTGGGAAAAATATTAATCTAAGTTAACATTGATTGTAATAACTAATCTTTTCAATAAGTATGTCATGATATTCAAAGTCGGTAATCATTTGTCAACACAACATTTAGATATAAATCTTCACTGTTAAACAGATATACAGATAATGCGAAAGGTCATATAACTTTTTTCACAGAAATATTTATTAAAGAATCATACTGTATGAAATAATTGTGCGCAAGATGGAATTGGTGAAAATCATCAAGCTCCTTGTAAAAATATATTATTAAATCTTTGAAGTCAACAAAACTGATTGTTGTTTTTAACTGATGATTGTAATTTTGTACTTTACTATTTCAAACTTAGGTCATATGTTTAATACAATATTACGTTATAGTCTACAACATGTAAATGAAAAGCGTAAGGTGATAAAAAATATATTCGTAGTTAACAATGAGGATAGTGAGACTTTCATTATCTTGATTTGGCATGAAAGAAAAATCAGCCTTAAAGATTGACAGTCCTAGTTCTTACAAGAGGTTAAATTCAATATTAATTAGTATATTCATTATACAAAACACATCCTTGATGCTCATTGGCTAAAAATTTACACGATCAGAGTAATAAAATGATACTGATGAGTTGAGAAGTAAATTTGTTATCAAAACTACACTATTAGTAATAGTCAAAAGAGCCGGAGAATATATCATAATACATAATTAGCTAAGGAATATTCAGTATAATATTTGAAATTGGAAACTCATTGAATATATCAATGACATTGATACCAATTTCATTGTAACCCATATTCAATTTGTATTAATAAATATATTCCATTGAAAAAAAGATCATCAATACTTTGGAATTAGGCCATAAATGATATATTGTAAAATAAAATGCCAAAAGATATTTTGTGACCAATGAAACTATAAAATTAGTAAGTTGTAAAGA